TGTGTGTGTGTGTGTGTGGGGGGGGGGAGGGCGGTTGGAAAGCGCGTATGTATCCGTGTGTCAAAGCTCACACGACCGTGTGTAAAGGTGTGAGGGGGTGTGGATCGAGGGTGGTAGTGTTACGGCCATCGCGTAGCCGCGGCGACGACGACAGCGACGCGGTCGACCGGCTGCAACGCGGCGACAAAGACGTCGACGCGAAATTGTCGTTTTTTTTCGTTATCTGTCTCGAGCGCGTACAACAATACAATAACAATAACAACAACAATATGTTGTTACGATACTCGCATTTGGGTACGGTGTATAATAACATACACACTCACACACAACACGAGCGCGCAGGCGGCATCGACGACGCGCGAATGCGACCGACGCCGCCGTCGCCGCCAGCCGTAGCCTAGGCGGCGGCGGCGATGCGCGCGCTCGCGCTCGCGCGACGCCTCTGCTGCTGTCGTGCGCTCGACTCGACGCCGCCTCGCCTCACTCACTCATCCCCTCGCCGCGCACCCACCTCTCACTCACTCGCACTCGTTCGATGTCGCTCGCGTCGTATACGTACCGTATTTATATACAGTTTTTTCCTCGCTCCTCTCGCTCGCACAACACTCTCTTTCCTATTCTTTTCGACGCGCGCACACACACACACACACACATTACAACACATACAGTTTTTTATTTATTTATTTTATATTCTCTCTCTTCCGCGAGTCACTCCTCGCCGCACTTATTCGCGCACCGCACACGATCGCCGCTTTCTCTCTCTCACTCTTTCCTTATCGCGAATTTACGAATATATATATATTATATACACTTAGCCAGAGTTCGCGTGTGTCTGTGTGTATGTGTGTGTGTGTGTGTGTGTAATATTCTTTCGTATTCTCACCAAAACCCTCCCCTGCCCCCTCCCACCAATCTTACGGTACCCACACACACACACACACACACACACACACACACACACGGTTCTCCACCGACTGTGTACCGACGGTGAATGGCTATTACGCCGCCCACCGACGCCGCCGCCGCCGACCGCGCTGCCGCCCGCCACTGCCGCCGCCGCCGCAGACTACGTCAGTACTCAGTCACTGTACTCAGCGGTTAGTTAGTGAGCGAGTGCCGTCCGACGTATTGGTTGTGTGTGTTGCGTGCTGTACGTGCATCGCCGCCTTCCAAAAACGTATCGTTTTCGCGTGTGCGTAATATACTCGACTTTATCGATATACGCGCGTATTAATATTATCACTGCCACCGCGTATAACCTTTTTTTACGATATTAATGCAATCCAGAATATTTATTTATTTTTCGCACATAGAATAGTAAATATTTTATAACTGTTCATTATTTTCATTATTTTTGCAAATACATACATCCGTATTATTACCGTGTATTATAGAGCACACGCTTGCGACTTGTAGGTAGTAACATTTTACAGCACGTCGTCGTTTCGGCAGGCGGAATTTAATGTAATAATAAGCGCGCTCGTCGCCGTTTTGCGTCGTCCCGTCGTAACCTTTCGTCGTCATTCGCACGTCCCGAACGGATCAGCCGCAGTGCCATAATAATATTATTATTATGCAGTTGGCGCCTCCACGCGCACGATAACGCTGACAGATAACGGTGGAAAACCGTCTGGTATAATATAGTGTCGCCCGCTCGTAGGGTAGCGATATACGTGACGGTGCAGTAAATAGTAGTAATAGTATTACAGTAATATAATAACAACCTACGGCGATCATCGCCTCCGCTGGACGACGCGGGAAAACGACGGTACGCTTGGGGATCGACAGACGATGACCACCGCTGCTGACAACACCGACGAAGACGATCGCCGACTGGCGCACCACCACCGGCAGTGACTTGTCTCCTTGACTGTATACCACCAGCACATATAGCGATATCGCTTACGACAGACCGTGTACATCGCTGTCATCGTCGTTATCAGTAAAACCGCACGCGGTTCAGATGTCGGCTGGCGCCACCGGTTCATAGGCGATGTCACACGACACGTGATCGACAGTCGCAATCGACAGTCATTGTCAACGACGGCATAATAAATGTCGTCGCCAATATCGTCTTCGTCGCCGTCGCCGTCGCCGTACTACCATCACCAGCAGCAGCAGCAGCAACAGCAGCAGCAGCAACAGCAACAGCAGCAGCAACAGCAACAACAGCAATACAACAACCACCATCAGCAGCAGCTCCAACACCACCTGCAGCAACAACACCTGCACGCAGGGGGCTCGTCGGCAGCCGCAAACGCGGCCGTCAACAGCATTTTGCTGTCGCCGTCGGCAGGTGCCGGCGTGACGGCCGTCGGACTGTCGCCATCGCAAGGCGCCGCTGGTGGTGTCGTTGGAGACATGCAACAGCAGCAGCAGGCCTCGACGGTAGCGAGTGCGGTAGCGGCCACGACCACGTCGCTCTTACAGCAGTGCTGTTCACCGCCGCCATCTTCGGGCTCGTCGTCTAGCGTTAGCGGAGTATTGAGAAAAGGTATATGCACCGACCAAATACTGTAATATTTTAGTTAGGCGTGATATATTATTTTAATAATAATATTGTAATACGTTTCGCAGCACGGGCACGTATTATTATTACTTGTCGTCGTCGTCTGCGTCATCGCGCAAAGTATAAAATCGTAAGCATTTAAGTCGTCGTCGTCGCGGCCAGCTGTTATAATATTTAATTAAAATAATATATGCGGAGCTCCCGAGTCGGCTGCCGCCGTTCGTGAAACGCGCGCGTAATCGATCTTTCCGCAAAAGCGAGATCCCCGCGACTCCCACCACCTGAATCATCGTCACCTCTGTAACGACATTGTTACAATATGGGTATTATTATATTGTACACTTGTTGTACATTGTATAGGTACGAGAAAAAAATCTAATCGCGATCCCAATAATGTATAGGTACACTTGGCTCGCCCAATAAATACTATATCATATCGAGTAACACTGCAGTTTGGGGATTACCGATTAGCGTAAAGTACCTATATGGGGAACGTGCACAGTATTGCGTTTTGTTTTCTGCAACACCTGCCGCCCCGTAAAAGTAATAATATTATTATCGCGTTATTTTAGTATCGCTGTGCGTAGAGTGCAGGTTGTGTCGAGAAACTCTCTCTCTCATTCGATATCATTATATATTATATTATATTATATTATTTTATCTTGTTCATGTTTATATATATTAATAAAGAGATGGCGCGCGGAAAGAGAGGCGGCGGCGGCGGTGGAGGAGAATGTCCGCGAACGCTCGCCACGTCCGTTGCGTAACGGCCGTCGTCGTAACAGGCGAAAGTTTCTCCACGCGCGTTTTATATCCGGTCGCCGCCGCCGCCGCAACAGCACGAAATCTTTCTCTGCGAGCCCGAAACACGTTTGTACAAAAATCGAATACCTACATTTTCCTGCAAAATTCGCAACGGCGAAATGCAAAAATCCAAAAATAATAATAATTAAAAATAATTCGGTTATAGGTACTACAAAAAGCACTACATATTATGTGCCGTTCGCCGCATCTCAATAATATTAACAATAAAGTTTCCGGCACAACTATGTCGCAAGATAGGGTATTCATTTTTTTTCTTCAGTTTTTCGCCATTTTTTCGAAATCGATTCAACACATCGTCTCATACAATCCCGCAACAACGGTTGTGACACTTTAAAAAACTCCATCGCGTTCCGCGTAAGATTTCCCATTCCACAAATAAACAATATTATTGCGTATTTGTGTAATTGGTATAATATATTATTATAAATATTTTTATTGTAACAAGGCAGTTATCGTATAATGAACTTATTATTATTAATATTATCACATATTATTATTATTATTATTATTATTATGTTTCACACGAGTCGTGTGGTTTTTTCTCTTTCGTCTTCGTTTTCTTTGCCCCTTCGTCGTCGGCACTCGGCGGCGCCCGCTGCGGTTTGCGCACGTTATAATATATAATAATATTATAAGTGTATTTGCGCGGAGAAAGTCTTGTAGTCGTCGACGCTGCCGCCGTCGATTGCGTAATTCCGTCACCAGAAAATGTGTTTGGAAAAAAATAAATAAATCGTATAATATACTGTTCGCGTTCTCCGCAGCAGAAATCGCGAACGGCTATAACCGGCCGCGCGCGCTTAAGTATTTTGTATATAATATTATTACGATTATTATAATATGCAAAACGACTTGTATCGCTAGGGCGCTATCCGCAAAAGAAAAATCCAACAACAAATTACGCATACCATCGATTATAAATGCTATATTATGTACTTAATACCAATTATAATACTGCATTATGGGCGTAACTAGGATTTATAGTAGTCGACTCTTGGAAAATCGGAGTTCAAAATAAGCCATAGAGTTTCAAAAGGTCACCCATTCGTCATTAAAACATAAAATAATTACAGCATAATATTTTTTATTCTTCAGTGAGCGTGTTCAATATTTTACAATTGTACATAATGTCTCTATCCCAGAAGCCAATATACTTTTAAAATATCATTGTCATTAATCTTATTCTCTCTCTGTGCTTACAGTATTTATAGCTTGATCGCTAAATCCTATTTTATAACACGGATGGTCGACCTTATAACGTGCGTTTTAATTCTCCTCGTACGAGAAATAGCTGAACCAAACATATTATATATTATTATACTGTCGAGCGACTCAACGATTGTTTCTCCAGAGTCTAAAATAACCAATTATACGTCCGAAACACTAATATGATACTTATATGTCATATAATCATCAATAATTGTTATTTACACATTGAACACACGACAAAGTTTTTTTTTCTGAATGTATCAGCTCCCCCAGACACGTGAAAAGTCCTCCTATAGTTAAGCCGATAATATTTATACAATCAATGCGAATTCACTGAGCGGTATTGTCCAAATTTCGCGAAAAATGTTGAAGACAATTCTGCCGAATTTTTGAAATCCCGGTGACTACGGGGAGTCGACGCTAAGTCGACATAGCAATATTTTTGTTATTATTATTACTATTATAGCAGCAGGGAGCGTACAGCACGAAAACGACGGACACGGCAGTGTGAAATTCGACATGATTGAACTTAAATAATGTACGACGACGGACGACAACGATAATAATAAACGATAATTTTATACGGAACACCGATCGCGGGTTTCGCCGTTTCACTCGCATAACCAACGGATTCTTCGGACGCTACGTTGGACGCCGCCGCCACCGTATAATATTACGATGATGTGATAATTATTACGACGCCGACGCGGCGTTGTATTATTATTAACCACCTTGGAACGGTGGCGGTGACGAGTGCGGGGGGATCGCGGATCGCTTGGAAAACGAACGATTTCCACTAACTTTTCGTTCGTCCGACTGTTGACAATAATTACCGTGGTTGTGTTATTATTTGTGTAAAATATTATCGAAAATCGAAATGAAATGCATAATGTACAATCGGAAAATAATAAATACCTATATTCCACAAACGACGGTTGCAATCTTTTATGTATATTATTATCTTAATGTATACGTCATACGTGCAAACAGAACGCGTGTGCGTATTAAAAGATAATATTATAATAATAATAGTAATAGGTATAGGTATAGGTATAGGTATTATATTATACGACAGTGGACATAGAGCCGTTGTCGTCATTGTTGCTGCTGCGTATGTACATGTTTTTATTGCCATCACATAATAATATATTATGTACAGTTAGGCGCGTATATTGTACATTGAAAAAACGTCTATAACCCCAATATTTACAGGGTAGGACCGATGAGATTATTGCCCTGAAAGGGTTCATATATAATATAACCCCGAAGTCGTTTTTTTCGTTTACAGCCCATTTTACCTCCCAGCTGTTTTGATTTCCCGCGGTCGTGCCAGACGATCATAACCGCGGCAGACGAGTGCAGATAGTAGCCGTAGCGCGTTCTCCCCCCAACACAAAGTGTGTCGCGCAGGACGTCTTTCGGGAGGCATTTATTGTACCGCGTTATCGGTTGTATAGTTTTACGGTCGGTTTTTACGACGATGCCGGCAATGGTTTCCGGCCCAGTGTACTATATTGTTGTAATATTATGTCTAAATAATTATGCGCAAGGTAAGGGCGTGTGTGACGATGTCGCGCGCACGCGTCAGTCAATATTATTATTATTATGCGCGTACGAAAAATAATAAATCATGCGATCGTCGGGCGTAGATGTTGCATATTATTGTACAGCGTACATAATATATTGTAAAACAATAGTCCAAAGGTTTACCATCTTACATATAAGTCGCTAATTTAGTTAGTGAAGAAAAATTGTAAATTAACAAATAATGTATTCAACTCAAACCATTTTAAGTTATAAAACATTATTCAAAATTAATATTAATTGAACTTGGTTAAAAAAGTTATTTGGGTCACATATAGTGATAGCTGTGCAACTTTTATTTGTTTTAAATAGGTAATAACTAAGTATTATGTATTAAAAATAAATCCTACTATTTCTATGTATTGCAGACTATACGTTGAAGTGGTTTAGGGATTTATGCAATTGCAGTTTAGTAGCACATTTAGTTTCGACTAAATTATTTAATCAAGAAATATTTACTTTTTATTTTTATTTAAAATAATTATATCTACTTTTAAAAAATGACTAAACAAAAAATAATTAACCAACTAGTTGACTTAAAATTTAAAAATACTTCTTTACCTGTAACTTTTTAACTAGATTTAATGACCTTTTTTGTTCAGTGGTATATAATAGTAATGCTGCCGGTACCAGGCTCTAATGTCGGTGGCGATTGGCAGGCTATGTATCACGATGTGGTTTACGCGCACACGGGTATCATATTATTGTTATGAATGCTTAGTGTGACAGAGCCAAAAACATACACTCACACACACACACATCCCTTCATCTATGACGTATTGAAGTGGCGATCGGCCGCTGCAGATCGTTTTTCTAAGAGCCATATTATTTTATATCAAGGCAGCGAGCGTTCGCTCCAATATTACGTTCCGTCGGCGATCGGAGATAATAATTATATTCTAAGTTTGGAAGTATGGTTATCCATCATCGTTGTCGTTTTCCGAAACCTTTAATGCGTTCTTTACTTGTAGATATCCGCTGCTGGGACGACAGTTTAGCGTTTAACGTTTTCGTGATATATAGGTTTTTCGTTCCCGATTTCTCCTTCACTTATTTCTTATCCGCAATTTTCGTGTTGTAATCGACGGAGGTGGGTACAATTGTAACATGTTTATGGGGAGAGGTACAAAACAATAATAATAATCGTACTGATATAAATAAAATATGTAAAAGAAATGCGCTCCCATTCTTCGGGGTTGAATCAGAAGAGCTTCGCTACTCCTAGTACAGAGTAGGGAAAATAAATTGCTTTCCTCCTTGTACAACCACTACCACCGCACCTCAACGATGCATTTTCCCTATTCGTATACGTATAAATTATATAATATTACGTGAGTCGTATTTACATAACAAAATATAGACGACAC